GGGCAATAACGTTGACTCGTCTCTTCTTTCCACGGCTACCATAAAGCTTTGTCTCGACTCCTCTTCAATTCCACCAAAAACCCACTGACCTTCCACGCGATGACCTTGATGATATTTTCTTTTCCAAACTTGCTTTCATCAATCTGTACAATCTTGCCAGGACCACCAATTGGAGTTTCGCGCTCCATAAGTGTAACTTCACATGTTTCTCGACAAAAGCTGTCCCAGTCAACTGCCGTATGAGCAGCAATATTCAACTCGTGTCGGATTTCGTCTTGTTTCATATCGCGACACCACCAATATGTAAATTTTAACACTTCTTCAATGGCCATGTTGCTTTTTTCAAACCAGCTGCCTTTCCGAATTGAAATCTCCACCTTGTGTCTTTTGCCGTTCACGCTTTTACGGCATTCCCATTTGTGTTTATCAGAACGATCTTTGCATTTAACCAGCTTCATGTGTTCACCACAATGACAACAGAGTCTACTCTTAGCTATTAGTCCTTCATCCATACACCATTGTATGATTTCCTCTTTGCTTCTGAGCACTTCATCTCTTAAACGGTCATACGTCCAGTGTTTTAACTTTTTCTCCCGATTATAACTCTGATGCCTTTCTTCTGCCCATTGTGTACCCACACTTCTCGCTTCTGATGATGAAATCTCTGTTTGCGTTTTAGTGTTTTTCAACTTTTTCGCAGATTTAACGCATACTTGAACCGCCTTCTCCATATTTGTCAAAAACTGTTTTACTCTCGGTTACCTCTGGAGTCGCCTGTCTAAAATTGAGTTTGATTTATTCTCATATGTAATTTTAGTATTGTTAATTAGTGACATTCGCGTCACCAGACATGTCACCTATATCGTATTGCAAAGTTTAGCGTCTCACTAAAAAGCCAAAATCCATAACACTTTGTCTCTCTGACGTTTCGTTTATATATTTACGACACAGCAAGTTAGATAATCGATATGGCAACGAAAAATCCGCTCACGAAAATTGCTCGGCAACATGAAGTGACATGGACGCAGCTGCAAAAAAGAATTTCAGATGTCCCATATAACTTCAACCACCTTTTCCCGGATGATATTGAGACCTATCTACGCCACAAAGCTTCATCAATAAATAGCTCCATTGGATACATCATACCCGCCCTGCTTTCAACAACATCGTTTTTGTCAGCAAAAAATGGTTGTACAGTTGCTACTGTTACTCACGAACAACCAATGAACATTTACACGATATTTGTCGGGCACTGGCAAATCATCGTCAATTCAACATGGTTGTTTGGGGCCCCTTCAGTCTTTGTTCGACGACGAGTTCGCCAGCTTCGTTCTTGACAAACCTACTTCGTCCGGCCTCGTTAAACACATTTCAACGAAGCAATCGGCCTTCATAGTCTCTCCCAAAATATATGACGCCTTGAATAAATTGCTCAAAATGATGAAGACAACGCGAGCGGTGACGCAATGTTGCTGTGTAAACTGTTTTCCGGTGAAGCTTGTTCTTACTCCTACGCCACAGAACGAAACCGGGATATTCCCGCAAATACTCCTTTCGCCATTCTCGGTTGCATGCAAATGCCGAATGCAGCAAAACTAATTACAAGGATGGACCAAGGACAAGGCTTGATCGACTGCTTTCTGGTAGGTGTACCGAATGCTCTTTGTCCGACAACACAGGAAATTGAGAATGCAAGGCAACAGCTCAGTACCGAGCCTGAAGATTTGATAAATCAAGTTTTCAACTACATCAACTACTCTCAGCAAAATCAACAAAACGTTTATGGGTTTTAAGAGGATGCTAAGCAATTCTTGAAGGACAAAAACGACGCCTTCATCGCGGAAGTGAATGAAGCAATACAAGACGGTTCTGTCATCCCGCCGAAGTCAAAGCAGATGGATCTAGTTCCGCGTGTTGCAGCAGCACTGCATGTCTTCACTACCGCGTTCACAAACGTAAGAGCTGGACATGAAAAAGACCCTATCTCCACTGTGATTGACTTGGAAACCTTACAGCGCGCTGAGAAGTATGTTTGCTACCTAGAGACTCAAAAGAATTTGATATGCCAGGTAAATTAACACATGTAGCTATATTTTGTAACTGTTTTATTTTCATGATACGATGATGCGAAGTGAAAATACATTATGTCATTTCATAAGGATTAGCTAAGTCAACTGTCTTTCGCAGTGTGAAAATATATTAATATAACATAAATACATGATAAACTATATGATGCATGTATGCCTTGCCTAAAAAAAGCCCGCATTTTAACTACTGTGAAACATGTATGCCTTGTTCTTAACAAAATCTCGCATTATCTTAAATCTTGCTGTAGTTCATTCAGTCAATTGTTCATGATGTTTGCGACGCCCCAAGAAGACAGCCAACTGTGCCGATATTAAAGCTGCCATTCTCAAGTTTCCTGGACCAGTCGTCACATATCGCAGCTTTCGCCAATCTGCACAGAGATTCGTTCGTGGTTTAACAAAGGAAGAGTACGATGACGCAGTGGAACAACTTAAGCCCGACTTGGGTTCAACAATTTCAAACCGCGTTGCCAGAAGTTCGCACCCTACCAAAGTGTTTGTGAAGAAAACACCGAGTAATTCCGCCCCATGGTCGCATTCATCACTCTGTGAATTCCACATTTACGTGGATAAATTCAACATGGCCATTCACAAATCGATCACTAGGCGGATTAAAGACTTCTTGTTACAACAGCGATTGATCACACTCGAACAATACGATGAATAACACTGTAACCGCAACCATATCACTATGCATTCAAGGTTTCTAGTTCACGGTTGGAGTAACATTAGTAACATAAGGTTCACACTTACAATAAGGTCAGGGGGTTAGGGTTAAGGTTAGGGTTAGGGTATGTAGGTTTCTTGTGTTTTGGCGAGCTCATAGCATTATGTCTACGCAATTTTGTATAGTTTTTTGTTTATTCACTTTTATGCAGTTGTTTGTCGAACAAAGGAAAACTGATGTTTATAGAGACAGTGCTTGGGTGGTTATTACTGAAACTCAAAAATACACTTGTCCTGTAACCTTATGCCGGAGGTATTTTTCCCTTGCGCAGTTCAATCCAGAGTCCACTGAGTATATTATAAGCAGCGCTTGCCAGTTCTTTTGTTGCACATTCTGTTGTGTGGACACACTCCTACAAGCCTGCTGTGTTAATACACAACATTACATTATAAATTATTTATATTCAGTTAAGCAAGGAGCGAATTAGAATATAAATGTATTTATTATGGGTTTTGTAACTGGCGCACATGTTGGTTATGCATGACTTAGACATGCACAAGTGGTTTTGAGAGGCGTATGTATAGAAGATTTTGAAACCTTTGACTTAATTTTCGTTCAACATCTCTGTGCTGCATGTCTACAAATTAATGCAGTAAGAGAACATGTGTATTAATTAGAGGACAACTGGCATGTGGGACGCATTCATTCTCCAGTTAACTAATCTTGTTTTGATCTTCTGCTTAGTGCTTTTAGCGGTGGATGGTTAGCTGAGCTATAAATTGTAGTGCTATATATAGCAAGATCTGTATATATGTCAATGATTGTAATAATTATGTTGAAGTTAGTATGAAGTTGAAATAAAGACACACACACATTCTGTTGACACACTCCTACAAGCCTGTTATGTATTACATTATGAATTATTGCTGACGCAGCGAGCGAGCATGAAGCGAGCGGAGTGTCTTTAAAGTTCGGTTGTGTCTTTAAAGTTTGGTTGTATCTTTCCACCATCCTGTCTGACTCTTGATATCGAGCGGTGCGCACATTTCCTGGAATACCGCCAGCTCAAAATTTGCTTCTTGGTCAGAGTGAAGCTCGAGTGGTTGACCAAATCTGCAAACAAATTCGTTTACGAGAACTTCTGCAACCAATTCCACGTCTTGCCTAGGAATGGCATAAGCTTCAGGCCACTTGCTGAAATAATCCATAGCCACCAACAGGTAATGATTTCCCTTATCAGAGAAAACGAATGGGCCCATCACATCAATTGCAATCCTTTCCATAAGGCTACCAACCAGATATTTCCCCAGACATGCTTTTTGTCGCCGACTTGGTCCTTTCTTTGATGCACACAAACTACAACGCGCACACCACATTTTGACATCCAATTGACATACGGCCAATAGAATCTTTCTTTTACCTGTTTCAATGTCTTTGCCACTCTAAAGTGTCCCGTCACAGGATGATTATGCAGTTGCGTTACAATCACTTTGCGCAGACACTTTGGTACAATTAGTTGCAATCTCACTTCTTCACTGTCTGTGGACTCCCCATTTCCTATACAGAACATCCTGTTTCACAATTAGGCTGTCCTACTGCGCCCAATAAATTTTGGTGACTTCGCTATGACTTGACACTGCTGACCATTCAGGTTTTCCATTCCCAACCTTCAGCCATCGAAGAACTGGACCAATATCTGGATCTTTTTCTTGAATTTCAGAAACTTCCTGCTGACATATGTTTTTTTTTACAAAGTCATTCAAGCTTTTGTTGTATGTGTATATGTGTGTATGTGTGTATCTATATCTATATATCTATATATCTATATATCTATATATCTATATATCTATATATCTATATATCTATATATCTATATATCTATATATCTATATATCTATATATCTATATATCTATATATCTATATATCTATATACTATATATCTATATATCTATATATCTATATATCTATATATCTATATCTATATATCTAATATCTATATATCTATATATCTATATATCTATATATCTATATATCTATATATCTATATATCTATATATCTATATATCTATATATCTATATATCTATATATCTATATATATCTGTTTAAAAATTTGTAATCCAGGCATATTTGTTTATCAATGAATGTTCTCCGGATTTAAAATTGTTTTTCATTGAGCTTTCGACTCATTACTTCGAGTCTTCTTCAGAATATCTAAATTATTTACATGTGTATAGCTTTATATAT